GCCAACTGAGCCCTTTCCCCCCCGCCACACCCCACACCCCCGTTAATTTCATATGCATGCTATATATTGTTTTATTTGCTGCTGTAAAAAATAAGTATACTTTCTTTCTTTTTTTTTTTTTTGCCAACTGAGCCCTTTCCCCCCCGCCACACCCCACACCCCCGTTAATTTCATATGCATGCTATATATTGTTTTATTTGCTGCTGTAAAAAATAAGGAAAAAAAATAAGCAGAACATGTTTACAAAGATACCTTAGAGAGAGGCTGCAACTGGCAAAAAAGACAACTTGTGCATTATTTGTGTTAAAATGATATTTAAAATTTGAAAGTAAATATACTAACTCCTAGTCAGTTTTTAAACAAATATTTTCTATTTAGAATTTCAGAAGGTACACAGTATATTTTTATTAAAGAATAGCACGTACACCGTTTGTTTGTTTTTTGCTAAATAAAATGTAGCTGTCATGAACACACAAACATAAGCCAACAGATGCTGGATTATGGTTTAAGGAAACTGAAAAATGTGTTCAGCACTCTAACACATCTTACATATTACTTACTATAAATTGAGTCAAATCTTTCTTAGAAGCACAGAGGTTATAAATAACAAATAGTTAAATAAGAATAAATAATTCAGACACTACAAAGGACACAAACACATCTTTTTATTATATACTAAATTTAAAAATACAAATCTTATTAAAAATGCTTATCAAACATTGTATATAAGGACTATCAAATACGATTAGATTATGACATTATATACATTTGCTAAGGTTAATTAGAAAGAGAACAAAGTAACATTACTTTGCTGATAATGAAATTTCAGAAGTCAAATATTTTAAAATTTGGCAACTGTGAAGTAGTGATTTACACAGGAAAATGTTTGCAGAGGTAAGAGAGTTAAAAACAAAAACGGAATAATGCAGCTATTCCTGCCCTAAGTGTTAATAACTAGATTTCCCCCCTCATCCTCTGAAGTGTCACTATAACAAAAATTAAAGTGCACAAGATCATCAGGAATACCTGTTTGGGTTTCACCCTACTTATATCGTACAGCCATCAGACAGCGCTGCCGTTCGGAGGTCTCTACTCTTTCTCTGCTCCTGAGGCTTTCCAAGGTACTCGGCAATACGGCTACGGGAGAGAGTCCAACACTTTCTGGAGTGCGCCAAATGGCCTTAACGTGTAAGTTCACTAAAGATAAAACTATTATTTTGGAAATAGATTCAAGGAAGGGGTCCCTTTCTATTTTCTCCTAGGAGTAAAATTAGAGCAAAGACCTGATTTTACCTCTGGAAAACACTTAATGAAAATGTGTTCCAAAAGATCAGACTTGTCCGGCCAGCACACAAGACTGCCCACCATTTACATACTGCATCATCAATACGAGGCATCGATACCTGCCCTCTAAAGGCTCACAGGTAGAAACATGTTATTACATGACACTGATTTCACTGAGTAACATTATAATTTATAAAAATAGGTCACCACCAGACAATCCAAAAGAGAGGAGAAAGAAATTTGCTGGTCTATAAAAGTGCTCCTTTTAGCTTTCAAACCCAATAGCTTAACGTTTGGGTAAAACAAAACTGTAAAGCCATCAGTTCTAAATAAGCTGATGATACCATATATACATACTCAAACATATACATGAATGTTTTCGTTTTAATTTTGGTTAACACTAATGTACTAGTACAAACCATTTATAAGAAACATTTCATCAGGCATATTTACAAACACATAACAAATGACATAGATATGGAAATTTTTTTTAAATTGCTGATAATTTGTAGCTATTTAGCAACATAGTTCACTAAAGACAAATCTACTTAATTGTTAAAAAAAAAGTTTTGTAAGAAACCTCTACCACATATATATATAGGTCATTTGACCTAAGAGACAAATGAATATAATGATCATGATAAATTTTTATTACTGTTTCTTTTAAAAGCATATCAATAGGAGGTCTATTTAGAGTACTACCTACAAATGCACATCTCTCACGAGTCAAGAATATTAAATTATTCAATACGTTTTTACTCCTGTGGCACATCACACTGGGTAACACTAATAAGGTAGATTTAGATAACACTTAAATCATGATTATGAATGTTTAATTGAATATTTCCCTTTCTGTAGCTGCGAAATGTAAAGCTTAGATTTGCTTCCATCAGGCCTCTTAAACCAAACTTCATCATGGTTAATTGTTGTAATTACGGCACTAAAAAGGAAAAGAGAGAGAGAGAGAATGAAAAAATTATAATATGTCTCCGCCACTCACTTTAGAGTACAGCATTCGCTATACAGTCAAAATGGAGAAAAACAAACAAACAAACAAACAAAATGGGTGGACTGCAATGATAGATTCAGATACGTAACTGTCATTGACCAGAATGCAGTGCAATTGGCAAACATCACATTCTGTAACACTTAAAAGATAAACTCCTTTCCTTTCTTCACAAAGCCACTGCCGCTAAGCTGGTTCCAACCTACAGGACAGGGTGGAACTGCCCCATAGGTCTTCAAGGCTGGCCGTCTTTGCAGAAGCAGATTGCCACCTCTCTCTTCCTCAACGCCGCTGGTTCAAGCCCTTTACCAAGGAGTCACTAAGGCACCTGTCTTTTACAAATCAAGTAGGCAAAATTCACTTTCTGTAGAACTTTATTCCTACTCCGTCCCCTCCATCTCACCCCTAAAGAACAGAGGAGCAAAACCCCATCTCATATCAGCCCAAATTCAAATTCTCTAACCATCTATGATATTTGTATGGATTTTATAGAATTTTATATAAACATTTGAAGTCAATTTGAGTTTCTCTTTATGCTATATCATTTATATAATTTCTTTTATGCTAAGTAGTACTAAAATTATTCAAAAGCAAAAAAGTCAAAAGGTCAAGAGAAGAATCCAGGAGTAGCACATAAAGCAAGCCCAATGAATGCCATGACAAAATGGCTGTACAATGTTTCTGGTATCCTGAATTTCATTTAAATCTTTTTATTGGGAGCTCTTACAGCTCTCATCACATCCACATATACATCCATTGTATCAAGCACATTTGTACATACGTTGCCATCATAATTCTCAAAATATTTTCTTTCCACTTGAGCCCTTGGTAATCAGTTCATTTCCCCCCTCCCCCCCTCCCGCATGAACCCTTGATAATTTTTTTTTTCATATCTTAAACCAACCGCTGTCTACCTTCACCCACCTTTCTGTTGTCTGTCCCCCTGGGAGGAGGTTATATGTCGGTCATTGTGATCGGTTCCCTCTTTGTCCCCCAACCTTCCCCTTACCCTCCTGGTATCACTACTCTCATTATTGGTCCTGAGGGTTTATCTGTCCTGAATTCCTTGTGTTGAGAGCTCTTATCTGTACCAGTGTACATGCTCTGGTCTAGCGGGATTTGTGAAGTAGAATTGGAGTCATGATAGTGGGGGGGAGCAGAGGGGAGGAAGCATTAAAGAACTAGAGCAAAGAACTAAAGTTGTATGTTTTGTCGGTACCATACTGCACCCTGACTGCCTCATCTCTTGGTATACTGAATTTTTTAAAGATGAAATAATAATTGAATTAAAATCACTGTATTTGGGAAATGATTGTTCGAGCCTAAACCCAAATACTTAATAAACCACAAAATCCTAGGAAAAAAGTATCTTCTAATTGTAAAATGTTACTATGAAAATTATATCGTAAATTACTGCAGGAACAAAACTATTAAAGTTTCTAAAGGCCACAAGCAAATAAAACTTAAGGGCTATAAAAGTAACTATACAAACTTTAAGCGGAGATAGACTTTTAAAGCACTATTCAGTTGTCAAGTTACAGTTTAACGATTACCATTTCCCCAAAAATAAGACAGTGTCTTATATTAATTGTTGCTCCCAAAGATGCACTAGGTCTTATTTTCGGGGGATGTCTTATTTTTCCATGAAGAAGAATACGGTACACATTTGTTTATTGTTTTATTAAAAGAGACCTCGCACTTCCTGTCTGCTCCGGCTGTGCTGCAGCCAACAGTGAGCTGCGCAGCGGCGCCGGCAGCTACGGTCCAGAGTCCAGAGTTACTGTAGCTTCGGGGGGTCTTATTTTCGGGGGGTGCCTTATATTTCAGCAAGAGGCAAAACTGTAAGTAGGTCTTATTTTCGGGGGGATGTCTTACTTTCAGGAAAACAGGGTACTACTTTTAAGGGTGGTGTAGTGGTTACGCTTTGGGCTGTGAACTGCTACCTGGTCAGCAATTGAAAACCACCAGCAGCACCGTGGGGGAAAGACTGGGCTTTCTAGTCCTGTCAACAGTTAAGGTCTCAGAAACCCCCACAGGGGGTGCTATGCGTCAGCACTGACTCCACGGCAGTGAGTTGGAATTTTCTGGTTTGGGTACTCTCAAGGTTTATTTTCCTTTTATTTCCTCTTCTATTCAAAAATAATTTTTTATCCAAGATACTGTAACTTGCTCCAAAGTTTAAGGATCAGTAGGTTCACCCAAAACTTGTAGCTCTTTGATTTATAAATGGTAACAAGCAGGATCGCTCAGCTAGCTAAATCATTCCATTTCCACATGTTTTTCAATTTAATATGGAACTGTGGTGCACAGCTATTAATACAGGTGTCACCATGTTAACAAAATGTTATGCCAAATGAAGAGAGGGTCTATAGGCAACTCAGGTTGCATTGTGAATGTACTATAGAAGCAGTATTTTTTTTTTTACTGTATTGTTGCAAGGTTTTATTAAGTACCAACACCAAATTTTCTCAAATGAATTTCTTTTTTGTTTGTTTGTTTTCCAATCGTTTTACTGGGGGCTCATACAACTTTTTAAAAAAATTTTTATTGTTCAACGGTTTTTGGGTTTTTTTAAATCATTTTATTAGGGGCTCATACAACTCTTATCACAATCCATACATACATCAATTGTGTAAAGCACATTTGTACATTCATTGCCCTCATCATTCTCAAAACATTTTCTCTCCCCTTAAGCCCCCAGCATTAGGTCCTCATTTTCCCCTCCCTCCCCGCTCCCGCCTCCCTCATGAGCCCTTGATAGTTTATAAATTGTTATTTTGTCATATCTTGCCCTGTCCGACATCTCCCTTCACCCACTTTTCTGTTGTCCGTCCCCCTGGGAGGAGGTCACATATTGTTCCTTGTAATCGGTTCCCTCTTTCCTACCCATTCTCCCTCTACCCTCCCTGTTTTGCCACTCACACCACTGGTCCTGTAGGGCTCATCCTCGCTGGATTCCCTGTATTTCCAGTTCCTATCTGTACCAGTGTACATCCTCTGGTCTAGCCAGACTTGCAAGGTCGAATTCGAGTTATGGTAGTGGGGGCAGGGAGGAAGCATTTAGAAACTAGAGGAAAGTTGTATTTTTCATCGTTGCTACATCACACCTTACTGGCTCGTCTCCTCCCCAAGACCCCTCTGCAAGCGGGTCTCCAGTGGCCAGAAGCAATATTTTTTTTAACAATAATATTGGAAATAATAATACTCAGTGTTGGATTACCCAATAAACACAGGTAAGCACAGGCTTACTTGTGTTTACTTACTAATCTGTAGTGAACAATTTCACATTTTTTCACTGTATCAAAGAGGCTGCTTCTAGTTATGGCAGGTATCTGTCTACCTTCTAACCCCACAGCACATTCCTACAGAGCCAGAGCTTCTTCTCAAATGTGTAATGCCCACTGGGACTCAGTACCCAGCCAGTAAGGTCAGCACAGACTTACTTGTGCTTACTTACTAACCTGTAGGGAACAATCTCACGAGGCTTTCACAAACACAATCAGCGGATGCTCACCTTGCTTATTGGGAAATCCCCCCTTCAGATAAAGAATACAGAAACTATCAAGGCTTTTTACCTTGTAGGACATTCATCCTTTTTATCAATACATATCGTCTGTCCGCGAATATACCATTCACCATCATAATATAGTCTCCCTTCTTCAGACCTAGCACTGTGCAGATGTTTTTCCAGTTTCACAGGTGCTAAAGGGGTCAGTTCAAAAACTGTTATATTAATAAAACATTGTCAGAAAACAAAAAGGTCAGAAAATTCAGAATTAACATTCATCCATGCATACATGTGGCAAACACCAAATATATTTTTTTTTAAACTAAATGTACTAAAACCATGAGAGTTTTGGGTCTTGCATACTTTGTATAATTCACTAAGTATCTGATTTAACTACTAAGCAAAAGTATGCAATGAACATCAGGTCATCAGTTAAATGAACACATACCACTGAAAAAGTATCAATTACAGCATCAATCCCTATTGTCAACTTTAAGAAGCATTTAAAATTTCAATTGTCATATTTCCACTGAAAATTATATTCCTCATATTTTCTCTTTCAGGCCTTTTGACTTTAATATAGATTCTCAGGGTTCTCCAGGCCTTTAATTATAAAAAGGGAGTTATCCTAAGAAGGGCTTCCATTTTTAAATCTTAAAAGTAGTTTGGCACAAGTCAAAGAAACTCATGAGAAAGAAAAAAAGAGTTCTTCATGGCAGTACATTGTCAAAGGCTTATCATGAATTAAATGCCTCTTAATCATTCAAATATCACTTCTTCAAAGGTCTCCCCAGCCACCTTACCCTCGCCTCAGTTAAATCTTCAACCCAACCTTCAGAGCAATTACTACAAACTATAAATATCTTGTTAATTATTCATTGCCTCCCCTACAGAAGTTCCAGAAGATTACAGGAGGTGCAATCTCTCTCAGAATTGTTTCTAGAGCCCAAAGTCGTTCCTGGTTTGCAAGAGATGTTCAACAAATATTCAATCAGACATTTATTCAACCAATATTTCCTGAACACTTTTTATACACGGGAAACTGGTGCTGGGAATAAAACTGTGACTAAGAGATGTGGTTCAGGCCTTTGTGAAGCTCTGGTTCTCACTTTTGTGAGACAGAAAACTAAGTATACCATAAAGAAATACAAACTGTGGCACACGCTATGAAGAAAGCAAACACAAAGCAAGGCTAGAGCTACTGGGGCCTGGGAGGGCCTGGTGTCCTCAGAGGAATTCGTGACCTCGCTAAAAAGATAAAGAACGGCTCTTCCAGAGAGCTAGAGAGTTGCCTTCTAGTGAATTCCCAAGTACTTGAATACAATAGTGCTGAAATTTCCTGCAATGATATAAAGAAATATGGAAACATCTCTTATAAATTATTATAGCTGTTGAAACGTGACTGGAAATTCCTTTTCTAATATAAGGGGCCTATAAAAAGTTTACGGAAAAGATAATGATCTTTTCATTCCATTTCTGTACAAACTTTTTGAAGCCCATATATATATTATGTATTTTTAACCTCGTTTCGCTGTACTTAGATGAGTTAAGAAACCTCATCCATAGTGAGAGGAAGTGAAAACACAGACAGCAACATCCATCGCTATTTTGGCAGTGATTTTAGATCTCCAAAAAATATCAAGAACTTACAACTGGACGTGAATTTTATTGAGGGATACCCTAGTAAATCTAAAGAGTAGGCAAATTTCTTTGATGAATTCTACTGCCCACACTGTAATCTCTCTTTTCAGAAAAGTGCACACACAGAAGAAATTCTGCATGCAGTTTCTAAGGGTTCAAAGATTCCCTGAAGCCAATCCATGGAGACCCATGATAGCTTGGCACATAAAAGAACACTAAAGGAATAATTTTTTAAATCACTGACCCATTATTAATAATAGTAATGCAAAAGAAGAAATTCTGACACTTTTACATGAGACCAAACACTCCATAGTAATCCCACATAGATGAAATTAAACTGTGATGAAAAAACCTTCTAGCATATACATGACTTTGATTCAACAAATCTCCGTAGAGAAGACTTTTCAAATTCAGACTAAATTACTTACGTTCTGTTTTCACTCTGTGTGGACCCAGTGTAGCCATTGCCTTAATAATAAAATAAAATAAAAGTTGTCTGAGTTCACAAATTGAAAACCTATGATTATATATATATACTCCTCCCCAATAGCTCGATAACAAAGTGCATAACTTTCAGCTGCTTTAATAAATATTTAATGTCAAAATTCATGAAAGTCCCTAAAGGTTGGCAGGTCAAACCACCTAATGGTCTACTATGATCAGCTAAAACCATACTTCCCTGCCTTTGAGTTCATTCCGTCAGAGCGACCCCAGAGGACGGAACAGAACTGCTCCAAAGAGTGACTAGGGGATTTGAACCACCTGCCTTGTGAATAGTAGCCCCACAGTGCTACAAAAGATCCTTTCAGGAAATCTACTGTGTAGCACATGGGGTTGCCAGGAGTCAAAATCAGCTAGGTGGCAACAAGCAACAACAAAGAAACAACTAATATATATAAAGATTAACAATTTCTCCTACAGAGAGAAATACCTGAAATAATGGCTAAGTCTCAATTAAGAGAATTAGAAATTAAATAATTGAGTAAGGAAAACAAGTCCCCACTTTCCAATAAGCACAGAAAATCCTATCATTCTTGACTACTTAATTATACAATAAAAGACACAATAAGGGTTCTTTCATGTTTGTTCACTCAGCAAGTATTAAAAGTCAGCACTGAGCTAAACACTAGGCACAATATGGTATGCTGATTTACTAATTATTATTATTATTAGGCAACCAAAGCAAATACTTTTCTGCTCTCTGCATAAATTACTAAGTCATCATTACAGAAAAAAATACAAACTGATGATTATGACTCTAATTCTTAAAATATTCTTACTATCTACTGTTATCTGAAACAACTGCATTAGAGAATATTGCAAAATTAAAACAACTTTATAGTAATCTGATTTTCAGATACAGTACTAGTGGAGAAAAAAGGGTTTTTTAAAGCAGATTATAAAATAGACTGTTCCTCTGCTACTTTAGACATACCTTCCTAATTGTTGTCCAGTCTTCAAGAATGTCAAGATCTTGTAGCATATAAACTATATATGGACGTTGAAAGGTCAAGGTAAATTAGCTGTAAGAATTTCACACTTTACACTTAAAGACAACAAAGGTACATACTATTACATACCCAATCCTTCAACAGCAGTAATAACAATAGCTTATGATCTGCACAAAAGTTAACACTCAAGTGTAACAGGGGTGGACGAGAAGATGAGATTTACTTATGAATATACACAGCAGAGACAGAGGATAGTCCCACGTATGTATTTATATGTGCTGCAAATGTATTTATGAATATAGTTGCATAAAAAAATAATAATTACCAAACCCATTGCCATTGACTCGATTACAAATCATAGCAGCCCATATAGGATTAAACAGGCTACATAGTGATTCTATATAGATTGCAAATTTTGTAGACGCACACAGTCTCATCTTTCTCCTGCACAGTAGCTGGCGGGTTTGAACTGCTGACTTTTCAGGTAACAAAACACTGAAAACTTCCTAGTTATAACCAACGATCCTGAATGAATGAATGAATGAATGAATAAATGAAGGTTTTTTCCAAGTAGATTATAAAAATATACTGTGTTCATCTGCTATTTTAGACATACCTTCCTAATTGCTAGGCCTGGAGGCTCTGCCAATGGTCTTAAGGGACATCAAGGTCATTTGGCATAATATAGACCACAAGACAATGTTCTACGTCTTACTTTGTGGAGTAGTAACTGGGATCTTAACAAGCTTGTATGCGGGCAGCTAAGGTGCAACAATTCTTTTCTCTTCACCTACAGCAAAGAATGAAGAAAATAAAAAATCCGAGGAAACAATTAGTGAAAGGACTAACACAAACCCCAGCCTGCACACTCCTGGGACCAGAAGAACCAGCTGGGGCCCACTTACTATTGCTGACCACTCTGAAAGGGATCACAATGAAAAGTCCTGTAGAGCGTGGGAGGAAAGTGGGGAACAGAACCTGAAATCTAAAAGACTAGGGTTATTGCTCTAACTTCGAGACAAGTAAAAGCCTCAAAACTATAGCCCTCAGACATCCTTCAAGCCTAGAATTAGTTCGTTAGACTAAACAACAGATAGGCCTATAAAATAAATATCACCACCAGGGAAGTATGCACCCTCTGAACAATCAAGCCTGCGAGATCAGAAGAGCAATATTCCCAAGAGTAAAGCTTAGGAAGCAGAAAAGGACAGGAAAGAACAACAACTAAAAATGGTAACTACAGGGAGCAATGCAAAGAGTGCTGTCACAATGTAACAATGTAATCAGTGTCACAAAACAAAATGTGCATGAATCATCAAAGAAAACCAATTTCCTCTATAAACTTTCACCCAAATCACAATTAAAAGTTGAAAAAAACCTTTTTTTTTACATTTTGAATTAAACTATAGGCGAAGTTCGATTTATCAAAGAATTATCAAATGAACGGTTTTTGTATATAATCGTGGGATTTGCTGAATTCTGACCTCAGATTCTTAGAAAAACTTGTTTTTGTCGGGGCCCATCCAGTAGGTTCCAGCTTATTGCTCCCCCGTGTACAGAAGAAGGCACTGCCCAGTCCTGTACCACCCTTCTACTATCGATCTCTGATCATGGTGACCGCCACTGTGTGAATTCCTCTCCGGCAAGGATTTCCTCCTCTCCTCTGACCCTCTACTTTCTTAAACATGATGTCCTTTTCCTGGGGCATGTTGTCTCTACTGATCCAAAGCACGTGAGACAAAGTCTCATCCGCCTCGATTCTAAAGGACATTTTGGCTATATTTGCCCCCAAGCACTTGTTTCTGCCTCTGGCAGGCCATGCTTCTTTCAATATTCTTGGCCACCCTGATTCAAATGCATCAATCCTTCTTCTGTCTTCTTTGCGATTCAGCTTGTGCATGCGTATGAGGCAACTGAAAATACCATGCTTGGGTCAAGTACACTTTAGTTCTCAAAGTGACTTCCTGATTCTTCAACACCTTCAGAGGCTTTGTGCAGCAGGTCTGCCCAAAGCAATACATCATTTGATATATTTATTTTTAGAACTCAGCAAAATAAAATTCCAGTTTATTCTTAGACAACATTGTTTCACGGATACATCAGAAAGGCAAAAATAAATAAATGGCTGACCCTCAATAATATGTACAAAAATATATAATGTAAATATAAAATATAAACTAATTTTCATTTTAAAGTGCTCTTAAGAAAAAAGCAGGACCTTGAAACTCTTGCTTCTTTTTTGCAATGGCTGAATGTCAACCAATTCTTTTAATACTTTCTGCATCATTCAGTATTTTTCCCATAGAATCTCTTAATATTTGCAATTGGAGGCTTGAATTTCTTCTTACAACTTGAGAAATGCTAACTGTATTCTTCCTTTTATATTCTTTTGGAGTTAGAATTACAATTCATTATAATACTTTTGTCTTTTCAAGCTGCCTTTTGAAATTTTCTGTTCAGCTCTTACTTCATTTCTTCCATTTGCCTTAGCTACTCTATGACCCAGATCAAATGCCAGTCTCTTCGGACATACACTTTCATCTTTTCTTAGCTTTTGACTCTTTGCTTTCTTTACGTAATATATTCTTGATGTCATCCCACAATTCAGTTAGTCTTCACTTATGAGTATTTAATATGTTGAATCTATTCCTGAAATTTCCAAATTCAAATGGGATACATTCGTGGGTGCATTTTGGCTCTCATGGTCTTGTTTTCACTTTCTTCAGCTACCGACAAAAGGGGAGTATGTGTACAATTAGTGGTCTCTTTCATAAATGACCCCTGATCTGGTTCTGGCTGATGACACTGAGGCTTTCCCACGCTCTCTTTCCACAGCTGTAGTCCATTTGATCCCTGTGTAGACCCTCTGGCGAGGCCCATGCTTATACTGTTGAAGAGTTGCATTTGCAATGAAAAAGTAAATCCTATCATGTGGTCTCCAACTTCATTTCTGTCTACTTATCCTTCCTCTATCTCCAACTTTCACATTTCAGGCACCAGTAAGTGTCATTGTATCTTGATTTTTTGCTTGATCAATTTCAGACAGAAGACATCAGAATTCTTCTGTTTTATCATCATTGACTTTAGTGGTTGGTGTGTCAATGTGAATAATAGTTTTATGAACTGGATTTTTTGTCGGCATATAGGTATTATCCAATCACAAAGAGCACTGTACTTTAAGCTAGATCTTCAAATATTCTTTTGACCATGAATATGATGTAATTCCTGTTTAATTTGTCATCTGCAGCAGAGTAAACCACACATCTGACTAGAATACCCAATACCAGTCCATTTCAGCTCACCAACATCGATCTTTGTGTGGTCCGTTTCATTTTTGATGACTTCCAATTTTCCTTGAGTCATACTTCGTACATTCCATGTTCCAGATATAAATGGATGTTTTCAGTTGTTTCAAAATGTCCTCATTTTGAGTCATGCCCCATCAGCAAGTGAAGGTTTAAAAGCTTTGCTCTGTCCATGTCGGTAAGGCTGGCTCTACTTTGGGCAGGTAGCTGCTCTTCAGTCCTATGTCCAGTGCCTCGCAGCCTGCCCAACTCCTTTTCTGACACTGTATCGGACATTTATGAGGTTCGCAGTGGCTAACCCCTCAGTTAGACCCTTATCAGAGTCTTAAAGCTCACTGAAATCTGAATACCATAGGTGACCCAGCTGGTCACCTGGTTTGAAAATCAGGTGGCATAGCATCCAGCAGCACATAAGCTACCATACTATGGACAGATGAGTTATGGTCAAAAACGGTAGTGCCAGGATAAATACACCCGTTTTCAGATGCCATAAACCATATTGCCTTAATTTTATATTACTGATTGTTAAATATACCACCTAATCACTACTTTGAGGTGGGGACAAGAATAGTGGGAGGTGAGTGCCAAGATTAAATGGACATATTAAAGATACTCAACTTCAGAGGCATCAAAGATACTCCAATTTCATAGGCACTAAACCTTATTTTAATGTCTTACTTTTTTTTACTGTAATGCCTTACTTAAGATCATCCAACAATGGTTATAGCAGCACATTAACAGACGTTCAGATCGGATTCAGAAGAGGGATATTATTGATGATGTCAGATGGATCTTGCCTCAAAGCAGAGACTACCAGAAAGATATATATTTGCATTTTACTGACTATGCCAAGGCATTCTACTATGTGGATCACAATAAACTATGGATGACTTGGATAAACAACTCACTGTACTCATGTGGAACTTGTACAAGGATTAAGAGGCAGCTGTGCAAACAAGGAGCTGCTGCAGGATTTAAAATCAGGAAAGATGGGCATCAGGGTTGCATCCTCTCACCATGCATGTTCCATCTGTGTGCTGAGCAAATCATCAGGAAACCAAACTACAGTGAACCCTCGCCACTTCGCGCTTCGACTTCCGCAGCTTCACTCTATCGCGGTTTTGGCGTAACAGCGCATGCTCTGTCATTACTGCCACTGATTGGCTCATACTGTACACACTTCTGTCTGCATCGCTACATATCGGAGCTACGTATCAGATGCATTTTTGCTTTTGTACAGTGTACTGTAATTGTTTGCGATTTTTAAGAAATTTTATCTAAGCCCTATGATGGCTCCTAAACGAGCTGCATCTTCTAAGCCTTCTGACAATAAAAATAAGCGCCAGAGGAAGATGCTCACCATCCAGGAAAAGGTAAAACTTTTGGATATGATCAAAGATGGCAAGAAAATCGTGGAGGTTGCACGCCATTTCGACTTGAATGAGTCTTCCGTTCGCTCCATCCGTTGTACTTCCTAATATAATAAATAATAAATGATAATTGTAACGTCCAAAATGTTTTACTGCATTTTCCCTTTTTCGTTTAATAAATTGGGTAATACAAGTGTAATGGTGACTAAAGGGTGTTTTTTCATGTCCTCTATGCTCTAACTACGAAAATATTTGATTTACAAATAAGGAATCCTACTTCGCGGTATTTCATTTATCACGGTAGGGTCTAGAACCGATTAACCACAATAAACGAGGGTTCACTGTATATGAAGAAGAGTCCAGGGTTAGAGGAAGATTTATAGCAACCTGCGGTATGACACAACCTTGCTTGCTGAAAGTGAGGAGGACTTGAAGCACTTGCTGATGAAGATCAAGGATTGTAGCCTTCAGTATAGATTACAGTTCAGTGTAAGGAAGACCAAAATCCTCACAACTGGACTGATACGTAACATCAAGTTACATGGAAGAAAGTTGGAAGCATTCAAGGATTTTGTCTTACTTGAATCTACAATCAGTGCTCATGGGAACAGCGGTTAAGAGATCAAAAGACTAGTTGCATTAGGTAAATCTGCTGCACAAGACCTTTTTAGAGTATTGAAAAGCAAGGATGTTTCTTTAAGGACTAAGTCACGCTTGACCCAAGCCATGGTATTCAGCATTGCCTCTTACCTTACGCAGGTGAAAGTTGGACACTGAATAAGGAAGGCTAGAAAGGAATAGATGAATTTGAATTGTATTGCTGGGGAAGACTGTTAAAAGGACAAACCAATGTGTATTAGAAGCAAGGCCAGAGTGCTCCTCAGAGGCAAGGATGGCAAAACTTCGTCTTCCGTACTTTGATGTGTTGTCAGGGAGACCAGTCCCAGGAGGACATCATATTTGGTGAAGTAGAGGGGCAGCAAAGAGGAAGGCCCTTGAAGAGATGGATGACACAGTGGCTGCATCAATGGGCTCAGCATAGTAACAATTGTGGGACAGCCCAGAGCCATGCAGCATTGCAGTCTGTTGTGCAGAGTCGCATGGGTCAGAGGAGACTCCACGACACCTAACAACAACAACAAACGTTATTTTTTAAAGTAAACATTTAAAAACTCACACAACCAAACTATACACTAAGCACCTATTTCAACATCAAAGCCCTGCAGGCTAGGAATTCACATTGATTTTCAATGTTGAAATTGTGAGTAAATTTCTCCTCCTCCCCTACTCCTTTTTTTTAAATCGCTTTATTAGGGGCTCATACAACTCTTATCACAATCCATACATACATCAATGGTGTAAAGCACACTTGTACATTCATTGCCCTCATCATTCTCAAAACATTTGCTCTCCACTTAAGCCCCCAGCATCAGGTCCTCATTTTTTCCCCTCCCTCCCCGCTGCTGCCTCCCTCATGAGCCCTTGATAATTTATAAATTATTATTTTGTCATATCTTGCCCTGTCCGACGTCTCCCTTCACCCACTTTTCTGTTGTCC